CGCTCCAAGTGCTGGGATTAAAGGTGTGCACCACCACCACTGGGCTTAAATGGATTTTTAAAAATGAAAACCAGGAAAATCTATTAATGTTCCTTTGAAAAGTGTAGAATACTGCGGTCATCGCCAAGATAAAATACATAAACAGCATCAGGGAGGTAGAGGCACGTGAATCTCTGTGAGTTCAAAACCAGGCTGGTCTAGAGAACAACTTCTAAGACTGGAGCTACACAAACAGCAAGCTCTAAAAACAGCAACGAACTGAAACAGAAAAAAACCCAACCTACTTCTCCAAATCCAACAAACAAACAACAATAGAACTCAAAACAAGAAAATCCCCAGAATCAAGTAACTGTTGAGTCTCTCAAAGACATAGGCAAGGTTGTCAGATACAAGATCAATAAAGATAATGCCTGTGTTCAATTCCCAGCACCCACAACAGGCTTACAACTGCCTGTAACTCCAATTTCTGAGATCTGACACCTTCTTCTGGTCTCTGTGGGCAGGCACCTGGTACATACATATGTGCAGGCAAAATGCTCGTACCAAATGTAAGATAAAAACAAATTAAAAGGGGTTACCCCTGAGAAGAGTGCGGTACAGGCACAGGGGTATGAATGTACAGGCTCGGGAATGAAGCGAGCCTGTCGCGACCACACATGCCTGTAATCCCCATATTTGGGAGGTGGAGGCAGGGGATCAGGAGTTACAGGTCATGCTGATCTACACAGAGAGTTTGAGGCCAGCCTGAGCTACATAAAATCCTATTATTAAATACAAAAGGAAGGAACAGGGGACAAGACTGGAGGCATGCAAGCAGATCTGTGTACATGTTGATACCCTCAAACAGTTGGAGGCAAGGTCCTGCTATTTGGAAGACTAGGTACAGAACTGAAGAGTGAACCCCAACTGGTTCTTCCATTGCTATACACAGCCTGAATCCCAGATTGATTCAAATCGTATACCTAGGAAAAATAAATTTAAGTTACTTTTTTAAAAGGCAGATGAGACCAGGCATGGTGGCACACTTCTTTAATCCCAGCACTTAGGACCCAAAGGCAGGTGGATCTCTATGAGTTTGAAGCCAGCGGTCTACATAGAGAGTTCCAGGACAGCTAGGGCTACTTAATAGAGAGCCCCCATCTCAAAAAACCAAAATAAATAAATAAATGAAAGGCAGATAACTATCTGGGCAAGGTGGAGATTTTTTGCTTTTTTTTATTTTTTATTTTTTCCAGAAAACTTTAAAATCACACATCATGGGGGAATTAAATAAAGTGGATTAAGGTAAATAAAGTGGTTTAAGGAGGGCAAATTTTTTTTAAAGATTTTATCTATTTATTATGTATATAGTGCTCTGCCTATGCACCAGAGGAGGGCACCAGATCTCGTTATAGATGGTTGTGAGCCACCATGGGGTTTCTGGGAATTGAATTCAGGGCCTGTGGAAGAGTAGCCAGTGCTCTTAACCTGTGAGCCATCTCCCCAGCTGCTCAGTGGGCGGGGAGGAAGGGAGTCTACTCAACAAACACCAGTATGGGAGTCATTCGCAAGCAGACAGCAGACTGAGCAAACCTAATTTTAAGAAGCTGAAAACAAACATGGCCATGCAATTTATGGTTTGCGAAGAAAAGATGGCAACCGCAGTGGGAAATGGCAGGCGACAAGAAAGATAATCTGTGAACGAGAAAAATCTGAACGGCATACATACATACATACATACATACATACATACATACATACATACATACGTACATGTTCACACCAGCCAAGGAGTTAAAATTACCAAGGGTCACATCACACCTTGACAAAGACCAAAGCAGCGGAGCACCCAGAAGTACTTCCAGCTGGGACTAGGACAGGATCCTGAACCCTGAGCACAGCTGGTGGTGGCACAGACCCCTCCCACCTGTGAGAAGTCGGAGCCTCCTGGGTTTCAGAACCTCTTAAAGAGCAGCCAAAATTTCACAACCCCAGAGCTGAGCTCCAGAGACCGTACAGCTCTGGACCTGAGTCACTAAGGAGTGGACAAGGTGACAACCCAGGGCCCCTTCATAAGTGGCTCTCTGTGACCGCCTCTCTAGCCTGCTGAGTGCTGGTCACCTCCTCTCAGCAGACCCGTCTGTCTCTGTGGCTGCTGCAGCCCCGGCTTCTGGGCCAGCTTGATGGTTTTCCAGTGGAGCCAGTGAGGAGGTCCCTTCTCCCAGCTGTTCAGATTCCCAGCCAGTTTTGTTACCCTTCTAAATGGGTTTCTTTTAAAAAAAATATTATTTTTTATTATGTGTACAGTATTCTGCATGTTTGCATGCCTTCAGGCCAGAAGAGAGCACCAGACCTCATTTTGTAAGTCACCATGTGGTTGCTGGGAATTGAACTCTGGCCCTCTGGAAGAGCAGCCAGTACTCTTAACCTCTGAACCATCTCTCCAGCCCCCCAACTGGGTTTCTTATAAGTGGGTTTCTTCTCAGGCTCAGAGACCCCATGGCTCTCATTCCCACTCAAGTCCATTGTCCCTCCAGAGCTCAGTCTGGGTCCTTCTGCACGTAAACTCCAGCTGGGAGCCGCTCAGAAGGGGTCTCAACTCAGGCTCCTCTTTCTGCTCCCTGCCTCCAGAAACCAGAGTTCTCCTTCATCTCCTGGCGGGGTCTCCCCAAGGCTGCTGGTCTTCGCGCAGTGTGGACTCCTCCTGCTCAAGGGCCTGATGCTGTCAGTTCTCTGCGCGGTCCTTTCCTGGAGGAGCTGCCGGGTGAGTGGCTGACTTGGGGTGAGCGTGCTCTGTAGGATTCAGTGAGCCATCGAGGACAACTGGAGCTTCAGTTCCGAGTGAGTGTGTATTAAGTACACAGCAAGCCAAAGTAAAAGGTGAAATATCAGTTAGTAGTAGGGAGAGCAAACCATCGCGAATGCCGGCACTTAGAACATCCGCCAAACTGAGGGAGCCCATGGAGGCAGCAGCTGAAATTTCCAAGAGTCCCCAGCAGAGCAGTGTCTGAACCCTCAGGTGGGGCTTCCAAAAACAAATAGAAAACAGATACCATCAAATGGGGGGCTCACCCCCACACACACAAAATCCAACTGGGGAAGTTGAGACAGCCAGCTTTCTCTCCCCAGATCACCTTCCCATGGCTTCTCTGCCCCTGCACTTCCATCTAACAATAGTAACTTCTGCAGATGTTACCTTTGGCTGTCCCCAGGAGCACGATGTTTTCACTCCTGGCCTGCTTTTGCTACTCCCTTCTCTCCCTGCTACAAGGTTAAGAGGGTCAGGCCACTGGTACCCAAACAAGAAGCCTTGGAGGACACTTTGAAACAAATTTGCTTCATTCTGAATGGGGCAGGATAGAGTCTCATGTCCATAGGCAGCTCCTCAGTGAGCTCAAACACCACACATATACATGCACACACACACATACAGACACGCAGCACACACGCACACACACACATATACATGTGCACATACATCATACATACATACCAGTGTAATGTACGTCACAGGGGCCATAGAGCTGGGGTCACGACTGTCCCAGGGTATATACCTGGGCAGGTGGATGGAAGTGTTAGTTCTTTTACTCTCTGCCTACCCCTCAGACAATATCCTCCCAGGAAGAGAGAGGTCCAGGGCCCTGGTGGGAAGTCTTTCTTTGGGGCCATAAAAAAGTAGAAGATGCCTGGAGGAAGGACTAGGGAGGGAGGGGGAAGGGAGAAGTTGCCAGATAGCAGTCCTGGGCCAGGAGAAGGCAGAAAAGGAGGGCTTTGCTTTGCAAATTTTCCCTCCCCTTTCTTACTCAGGGGCGTGAATATGTGGCAGAGACCGTGATGATGGAAGTTGCGGAATATGCCAGCCTTCCTGACATCTCAGAGTCCTTGGGCACACGTAACCACATCTCAGGGTATGAGAAGAATGCTTATTCTCCTAACCCTACCCAGTGACCAGAGCTGCCCAACCGCTGTGTACTACAACCCTACTGAAGCCATTAGGCAAGCCCAGGGAGACAACTGCCAGATCCCCACCTAAAATCATCAGCAATGACTGTCACTTTGGTGTCCAGCACCTGAAGATTCACACACACCCCAGCACACATCTCCCCCAAGCTGACCCAAGTTAATCTGCACTGGGTGTCAGATCCTCAGTACCCCAACACCCTGCTCCCCAGCATCTCCCCAGAATCCTACACTGGTGCTTTCTCTCCCACAGCTCTCTTGGTCTCTCTCCTGCCTCCTTGGACTCACATGTCCCATGGGCTCTGTCTCCGGAGTGAGTTGCTCACAAGCCCTGTGTGGGTCCACTTGTGCTTAAGTTCGGACTCAGATTGCATCTGAGCCGAACTCGGTAATGCCGTTTCCCCTGGACTTCCTCTCCTCTTGCTCTAGATTCGTTTAAAATTAGAGAAAAATGACTTACTTAAACAATACAATGGGAGAATCAAGAAAGGTTGTGATCTGCAGACTACAAACAGAGGAAGCCAAGAAGTTAAAGGAAAAAGTGGTTTTTAACAGGACGAAAAACTGCCGACCGCTCATCCAGAGCACATAGGCTCTGACCACCAGGGAGCAGTGTTGTGTTGGTTTATCGAGTGAGGCAATTTCACCTTCACATAGAAATTCTGGTTGTACAAACTTGTGGGAGGTATGGGTAGATAGGGGAACCCTTTAGGGAACAAAAACAATGTCACATCCATAAACCAAGAAGAAGCCAGAGTGATGTTCGGCACAGGTGACGTCCAGTACAGCCTGGACACTGGACATCGAGCATGGACATCCACTGCTGGCAGCAACCACGACAAGGCCACCACGAAGACTGCACATTTTATTCTCTCTCTCTTTTTGATGTGTGGGAAAATAAAATACAGAAGTTTCTTCACAGATATTTCAGCTGATACCACACGGCTGCCATCTATCTGGGCACACCCTTTCACTGAGTTCATTCTGCTTAGCCTCGCCCTTTCTTTCCACTCGATGTCTTCAAACTGAGGCCATTACTCTTGTGTGTTTGATGTGTAATCCTGAACTTGTCTGAAGTCTTACAAAAAGAGTCATTTTTTTGTGTGACTGTATTTCTTTTTGAGTGTGTATGTGTGTAGGTGCACGCATGTGTACACATGCACACATGACTGCTTTGTTTGTAGAGACCAGAAAAGGGCATCAGATCCCCGGGAGCTGGAGTCACAGGCAGTTGTGAGATGCTGGGAGTGGGCACTGGGAACTGGACTCCAGCCCTCTGTAAGAACAGTGTGTTCTCTTGACCACTGAGTCGTCTCTCCAGGCCCTGTGTCTCCATTTTTAACTTCTATAAAATAGCATGATGTACTTTTCCCACACGGTTCTCCTGTCCAGATACCCAGTCACTGCTTCCCAGTGCGGACACATGCTCCATTGCAAGCATGCTTCCCGCCAGGGGAGAGCCCTGGAGTCCAGGATGCATTGCTGCTTTGCTGTCTCATCTTTGCATGGCAAACAGTCCTGTGGTGAGCACCCCAGCAAACTCTCCTTCAGAGAGTATACCCAGAGGAGTTCGTAGGATTTCAGAATCTAAGCTGCTGGTGCCCCTAGCTTTGCTTCCTGAACCACTACTAGACAACTGGATATTACACCTCCTGTCCATCTACAGGAAGTAGGCAGCACCATTTATGGACTGGTCTTCCAAGAAGAAAATGAAGGGATTTTGGGAGCACGAAGGTCCTTGTGCCCACAGGTCATCAGGGAAAACAGGAATGGTAAGCATGCAGAATTGTTTTTCCAAAGAAGAATGTATGGCCTGTTTTTCCATCCAGATCTGCGTTATCTGTAGGGCCAGGCTGTCCCAAACTCCCACAGCTAGGGCCATAGGTGGCTAATAGCCCAAATGCCCTCTATGTTATCAGTACGTCTGAGGACACTCCATATCCTCCCCTAGGTGCTTAAGCTAATACAAGTAGCCTATCCAAGAACCCATGTTCTTGAAAGAAATAACATGTACCCTGAGTTGGCTCTCGATGTAATCATGCCTCCTTATGCACAGGGGACTGTATTATACCAGGAAATTTTTTTTCCAGGTTGTACTGTGTTTAAATATGCTGACGGTGGTATCAAACCCCCGAAGTTTGATCATGCCCAGCTAAGTTAGGATGAACCAAGTTTTCTTTCTTTCTTGTTCACGGGGCCACTTTACTGCCAGCCGTGACACGTGCAGGGGCCCCAACAGTAGGAGGAAACTCAGGTGGTTTCTGCTAAATGATTGTGTTGTCAAACTGCCTTCATATGTTTATGTGAATAGATTGGTGCTGTCCTTAGCCATGGTCAGAGGAACAACGTTTTGCTGTGGACAGTAGTTAATGCTGAGATTCATGACTGGTCAAAGGGCTGAGAACAAGACAGGAAGTGACTGCTGAGCCCTAATGGAAGATCTCTATTGTTGTGTCTGCCTCGCCAGCAAGGAAGACACAACACCGGACTCTTCTCACTGCGGTTTTATTCAGGACCTTTGAACAACTTTCTCACCCTCTCGCACCTCTCGCACCTCTCACACCTCTCACGCAGGGCAGAGCCAGCCTACAGATTAGATAACCTCTGGGTAGCCAACCCCAGCAAGCCACGTGGGAAACGCAGATAGGTCCAGAAACGTGTAAGCAAGCCAGATCCTTAGTGTTAGCCATATATGGAGTTGTTCACAGCTGAGAGCACTCACCGTTGGGAAGGTGGAAGGCAGAAACCAGCGCCACCTTTAAGGCGTGGTATCACGCAGTTCTCTACACTCTATTAATCTTTTGCTCTAAGCCTCAGAAAACATCATGGGAGAGGAAGCAGAAAAACAGTAAGAGCTTAGAGGCTGGGGACAAGAGCTGTGAATGCTGCCATCGACGTGACAAGCCACGGAGCCCATGGCAGCTCTGCTTACCTTCACAGTATCCAACTGGTCAACGGTCTGGCATTGATGGGGAGGGGATTCACAAGGCTCCGCCCCTTACTGAGAAGCCATTTTCAGTTGATGGCTGCTTGGGGAGAGAGAATCAGCTATACACACGGGGGCCATGCTAATTGGACTCAGTGGCTCACAATAAAAAATAGAAGAGGACACTTGTCGGGGTGGCCATGCGAGGAGACCCTCAGGGAGCACTGGAACTCATGAAAAATGGCTGGGCGGTTGGCAAAGCCAAGCTGAGTGAGCACTGATGGACAGAGCCCCGAAGACTGCATGCCCTGAGGACCTCATGTTGTTGCTGAGCACAGCTCTGCTGCCTTCGTGGCCACTGCATCCTGACATCCTATGGGCTGTACTAAAACTCCCAAGGGTTTTTAGCCCCTCAAAGGTCACTATTACTGGTACTTACAACAATAGTGATTGGCTTTTTCTAAGCATTGCTGTTAGGGCAGATTAATGATTCAACTGCCACCCCTGCAAAGGATTTAGACACGTAGATTGTTAGTAAGGTTAGGCTAAGGAGTTTTTGTTAATGGCTTTGAGGTAGAAAGTCTTCGGGAACAATATCACATTTATAAAGGCATAGTTTTTAATAGTTGAGCGAGGGACTCTTTGGGGTTAGGGGACAGAAACAATAGCAGCCCGGCTAGTACAGACTGACGTACCTCTCTTACTAGACTGGGTTGGTAATCAAAGGCAATGATTAATTCCTTGTACTATTTCTGCCCTTGCTTCCTGACACGATGTAATTAAAAACTGCCGAGGAGTGAATATGCACTCTGCGGACTTAAATAGAAATGACTGATTATTTTCATGTATAAAAGTTTAGATTTGTGATTCCTTTAAGATTTTTTTATAAGATTGCCTTTTGAGATAAATAATAAAATGATTGATCCTTTCTCTGTAATTGCAAAATGCAGCCTGTCAGTAAAAGAACTGGCTGAGAAAAATACCTTGCTTGCTTACATCCTGTTAATCTATAACAAGTTGCTTGGACTTGAATGTATGTGGATCTTGGGAATAATTTGTTTTTTACCCATAATATGTGCAATGTAAATCATGTAAGGGATATGGAAAACATGCTGGTTTTTGCTTGTATTTGTTGTAATCTTTCACTTAAAAGATAGAATGTAACTACATTGTAATTTTTATATTGCTTGAAAGATTCTACTGGGGTTTATAAGATGCAAGTGAAAAAATAAAGTGAGTTAGAAGGGAGAGATCAGGAAAAAGAAGGGAAGCATCAGGGTAGAACAGAGCAGGTAAAGGACAGACTAGAACCAGCAACAGAAAGAACAGTAGAGAAACGGAACCTTTGTCCCTCAGAAAAGAAGTCTGTGTGCTTTCTTGCCAACTCTACATCCGGTTCCCAGTCTGTCTGACCTGCAGAAGGCTGTCCCCTCTGCAGACACGAAATTGGAAAGGGTGTGTGTGTGAGGAAGTCTCGGGGGTGTTTGGAGGAGGGAGTGAATCTGATTAAAATACATTTTACACACGTGTATGTGAAATTATTAAAGAATAAATAAGAATTAATGAAAGAAAAGTGACATTGAGATCAACAACTAAGTGATACACAAGGCACGAGATATATGATTCTCTCTATTCCTGTGCATTCTTGGAAATGTTCATGTACAGATAGCATGGAAGTCCAAACACAAGTGTGTTGATGTCAGCACAGTTGGGTTTGAATCGTATATGGCTAACTACAAACTAATCTTGATTAGTTAAAACAGTTACTAGAAATTTTGGAGAGTCCCTCCTGGGCTACCATATGTTATCTGGGAAATCAAGGTCCCTTCTTGAGGTCAATAATTTCACTAATAAAATATTTTAAGAGAGCTGGAGAGTTGGCTCGGTGGTTAAAAGTGCTTGCTTCTCCCGGAGGATCTGGGTTCAGTTCCAGGCACCCGTGTAGATCACAAGTAACTCCAGCACAAGTAACTAATCCAGAATTAGATACTCTCTTCTGGATTCTGCAGACCCTGGAACGCACACACACGCGCGCGCACACACACACACACACACACACACAGTGCTGGTTAGTTTTTGTCAACTTGACACAAACTAGAGTCACCCTGGAAGAGGGAGTCTCGGCCGAGGAATTGCCTCCATCAGACTAGCTTGTGGGTAAGTTTGTGGCATTTTTGTAAAATCGATGGCTGATGTGGAAAGGTTCAGCCCACTCTGAAAAGCGCCAGCCCTGAGAAGATGGTCCTGAGCTATACAAGAAAACAAACTGAGCAGGGTATAGAGAGCAACCCAGTACCCAGCACTTGTAAGCATTGCAGCGTGGATGGAAAGCGATCCCGGCAGTAGGGGGCTAGTGAATACTGTTAACAGCTCATTTGGAAAAATATTCTGGCAGTCAGAAGCCAGGGAATGTCACAGGTCACAGAAGCATAGCAGCTTACAGCCCTGCTCTTGGGAAAGGTTTCCCCAAGGTAACAGCTCTGCTCCCGCAGGAGAGGGTTCCCCAGTGAAGTTGTTACAGCTCGACTCAGGAGCCCCAGGGTGTAACAACTGCTCTGCTAGGGGGAGGCTTCCCCAGCGAAAGTGTTACAGCCCCTTGCTCTGCTCTGTCTCTGCTCCTGCCACTGCTGGAGTGGCAAACCATCTTCACCCAAACCTCTTTCAAGAGATTTATTAGGAGGGAAGAGTCCGGGAGTCCAGGAGAGTGGTTGCCTCTTCCAGGGTGGAAGAAGAGCAGCAACAAACTGAACAGCACAGGACTTATATAGGGTTTTTTAGGGGTGGAGTTTTCCCAGGGAGAAGAGGGATTGGTTAGTTTTCCCTGCTCAGGGATTGGTTAGTTTAGTTGGTCAGGGACAGAGATGACAGAGATGGCTGATGTCAGGGCCAAAACTATGTTTCTCTCACTGGTCTTTTTTTTTTTAACTTTATTTTTTTTAAAGCTTTTTAGCTCTAGTTTTGGGGCCATGGTGTGTTTCTTTCACTGGCGCTAATTCTAGAGCCAAAGTATGTTTCTTTGGCACTGGTTTCAGAGTCAGGGTCTATTTCTTTGGTTCTGGGTTTAGGACTAAAGTATTTCTTCCCCTGGCTCAGATCTCAGAGCCAGGGTGGGTTTCTTTGGCTGGCTTTGGTTTCAGAGCCAGGGTGGGTTTCTTTGGCTGTCCCCTGTCCCCTACAGCACTCCTC